TTGTGGGGCCCACAATTGGAATCCAGAAAACGAATCCTTGGAAACGTCCCAAATTCCTCACTAAACTAATTCCCCAAAATTTAGCACAAACAGATGCCTAAAACATCGCAAATCAGCCACAACAATTAACACTAGCAGCCCCTTGATCACCCATTTCTGGAAAAACGAGACCCTTCCAACCTAAAAGATTATACCACAACGATCCTTGCGAAAAACTCTACAAGTTAGCCTCTAGAATGACACAAAACGGACCTAAGATGATCAAGATCTCACATTTCAAAATTCAACAACAATTCATTCCGAAAAATCACCCTAGCAGTAGCTAAATTCGATTTCTTACCTCGAACAAAGCCTCCCCTCGCGTTGCTAAGATCACGTATAGATTCCCCACGAAATTCTCTTGAAGTTAGACTTTTGAATCACTCAATTCGGGTTTAAAATGGAGGAGGAATCTTATGTTGAAGATGTCAAATGAAAATAATGGACGAAATTCGTCCTAAAATCTGGAAATTTCCAGATTTAAGCCGCTGCCACGTGGCGTCGCGTGGCTCTGCCACGTCACCGCCGCGTTAGAATTCTACCACCCTTCAAACTTAAATTTCGATGTTCCGGACTCGTTCGGAGTCGGGAAAATACAACCCATATATGGAAGCTGATTGAAAATGACATTTCGGACTCAACAGTGAAGGCGGAATTTCCATTTGAAGACCGCTTCGATGAAAAGTGGGTCCCACACCGAATATCGTTTTGAGCCATTTCCACAACTGCCATCTAAAGCCTCGGGAAGTGAACAAAGGGTCGTTCTAGACCAAAATCGATATTCCTAATCTAACCTAACCCAGGTGACCGAACTATCAGTCCCAGCAAGTCATAAATGACTTGAGGTCGCTACAGGAACGCTCTAAACGATGAAATGAATTCTTTAATTTAAAAAATGACCTGGAGGGTCATTACAATATCCACTACTAAAAGAACTTTCGTCCGCGAAAGTAAGAGTCAAGAAGTACCTGAAGGCTCAAACAAGCTGGGGAACTGTGCCCGCATCTCATGCTCGATCTCCCAGGTAGCCTCCTCAACTGGACGATGTCTCCAATGGACCTTAACCACAGGAATGGCTCTGGAACGCAACCGTCTTACATCTCTGGCCAAAATAGCAACTGGCTCCTCAATGTATCTCAAACTGTCATCCAAGTCAACTGCATCATACTGAATCACATGGGACTCATCTGGAACATACCGGCGCAACTTCGAAACATTAAAAACTGGGTGAATAGCTGAAAAGGCCAGGGGCAAAGCTAACTCATATGCGACTTCCCCAACTGTCCTCAATATCTCAAAAGGACCTATATACCTGGGGTTAAGCTTGCCCCGCCTCCCAAATTTCATTACACCCTTCATGGGCGACACACGGAGGAATACTCTATTACCAACAACAAATTTCAACGGTCGACGCCTACGGACTGCATAACTCTGATGTCTGCTCTGGGCTGTCCTGAGCCTATCCTGAATCACCCTCACATGATCTAAAGTCTCTCGCATCAAGTCTGTACCGCGCGGCCTGGGCTCTGTAGACTCAAACCAACCAACTGGAGAGCGACAACGCCTACCATATAAGGCCTCGAATGGGGCCATCTGAATACTCGAGTGGTAGCTGTTGTTATACGCAAACTCTGCCAAAGGCAAATGCTGGTCCCACTGACCCCCAAAATCCATAACACAAGCCCGCAACATGTCCTCAAGAACCTTAATCGTGCGCTCCGACTGACCATCAGTCTGCGGGTGGAAAGTTGTGCTAAGGTCAACACGGGTACCTAACTCATCCTGGAAGGTCCTTCAGAAGGTAGATGTGAACTGTGGGCCCCGATCTGAGATTATGGAAACAGGCACACCATGAACACGAAACACCTCTCGAATGTCGATACGGGATAACCTCTCTGCACTGTAGGAAGTATGGACCGGAATGAAGTGCGCTGACTTGGTCAATCGATCCACGATGACCCAAATACTATCAAGACCACGGGAAGTGCGGGGTAATCCTACAACGAAGTCCATGGTGATCCTCTCCCATTTCCACTCAGGAATGGGTAATCTCTGAAGTTCACCACCAGGCCTCAAATGCTCGGCCTTAACTTGCTGACAACCCTAGCAACGCGATACATAATCCGCAATATCTCTCTTCATGCCGCTCCACCAGTAGTGTTGTCTCAAGTGCCGATACATCTTAGATGTGCCCGGATGAATAGAATATTTGGAGTCATGGGCCTCGGTAAAAATCATCTGAATCAAACCCCCAACTCTTGGAACACAAAGTCGATCACCAAATCTTA